ATGCCAAGCGTTTTATGTGGGTGCTAGGGGATCCAAGCTCAGGTCCTCAGCCAGACCACATGGATATGTTAACTGACTGAACCATCTCTCCAGCCCCAAGACTGTGTCTTTATCAGAGTGATATTGAATCATTAATGGTTAGATAAATGAAGTAATAAACAATGCCCATAATTTATAAAGGAATTAATAAAATAAGCCAATAGGGTATTGTTTAATTCTCTGCTGTATTTCCGTAGGCTGAAAGAACACCAGGCATATAGTAGATTTTCAGGTCATATGTGTTGAGTGGGTGGCCAAATAGCCAACCGATTATATACTGTATACTCAGTTGAGTTACTGGAATCCAGTGGATGCTCATCCATTCTATCTGAGCACAGCAAGGACAGCTGTATGGAGTGAGCTTTTAATTGAGAGAGAAAAGGATAGAGTCATCTAGAAATAGTGAGTGATGTGGTAGCTTCTAAGGATATTTTGGAATCTGGCACGGAGATGAAGCAGTAGTGGCTATTTAGGAAAATTTAGAACAATTTTTTTTTTTGAGATATGGTCTCATTATGTAGTCCTGGCTGACCTAGAACTTACTATGTAGCCACATTGGCCTCAAACTCAAGCAATCTGACTACCTCTGCCTCCCAAGTGCTGAGATGAAAGGCATGTGCCACTATGCCTGGACTGAAAGGTATATTTTAGAAAAATTAATTGAGAGGCATTTTATCAGGTGTCTCGAAGACAGAAGAAATTGTGAAGCACATACTGATAATGTTTGATAATTAAGTTGATTGATAGATGGAAAAATATTAACGATCAATGATATTTTGAGTTTGATTGACTTGGATAATAGTAAAAACATGAACAAAGTAGGACAGCCAGATGGGAAATTGGCATTTTGTGGGAAGGTTTTTTATATTTCAAATCTCTCTCTTTTGGAAGGGTGTTGACAGGGTCTTCCTTTATCGTCCAATCTAGCCTTCAACTTGTAGCAGTCCTCTGCCTTAGCCTCCTAAGTGCTGGAATATAGGCATATACCATAAAGCCCTGCTAATTTTAAATATCTAATGTTTAAAGTCATAGGGACACTTAACCTGTAGAAGTAAGAAGGCACATAATATTAGACTTGAAAGGAATTTTGGAGAATGCATTATTAATTAAACTTAAATCTAACCTTAGTATCCTACCAGTGAGAAAACTGACAGTTCTAGAATAGCCCTCAGAAATATCTCTGGCCTAAGTGTAGGACAGGGGTACAGTGGGAGATTTAGAAAGTCATTTACAGTGTTTCAAAAGGTACTTAGATAGTATTCCTTCATTTGCTTTTGCCTTTCCATTTCAAAAATACCATCTATGTAGATTAAACACTGTGCTGTAAGATTGAACCGAAATTTTAAAATATTAGGCAGTGTTCTTGCTAGTAAAAACCTGAACTGATCCAGAAAAGTGAAATTACTAGTGACTTTTATCTTGCTTTTCATAAGATCCTGACATATTTATGTTTAGGTTCTCTGTAATTACTCAATTCAGAACATATGCTGGACAGCAGACGTGCTTAGACTTTTGATCATCATCTTTGGTGCCATATTACCATGTTGGAGGGGAAAGCATTGTCAAGGCTTCTCACAGCTATCATCTCTTTAGATTTATACTAACCCATCCTGTCTTGCATTTGTCATATCTGTCCCAAGGAAGGTTATCAACAGAACTGGTTCAGAATATGTAGTGCAGACCAGTGATAGGGTTCCAAAGGAGGTCTGAGGCTAGGTCTTGCCTTTGGCGTCTCCTCTTTTGTTCTTCAGTCACTGTTACATGTGAGTATCTTCCTGTCCACATCCCTTTATGCCTATTCCAGACCTGAACACAAAGTACAGCACTGGCTTTGCCTTCTGGGACCTGTAGGTGAGTTTCCCACACCGAGCTCACTGAAATGTGGGCATTCTGATCACTTCTTTGCCTCCATCCATCTGTTTTCCATCCCTACAGTTCAATGGAGCAAGTGAGGGTGCTGAATGGATGTAGAAGAGCCTCCTTTTGCCTTTTTACAGTAAAGAGACTTAAGAGCATGACAGGGTGATGTGTGTAGCATGAGAACACATGGAAAGTAGCTTTCTTAAAACAGTGAAATGATATGTCCCTTAGTAATACCTGTTTCCTACTGTTCTTCTCTCTCAGGTTCTTTCTTTTCCTTTGCCGCCTGAGGCCCTGAGGAAATGCCAGGGACTGGAACCGGTCACCAGCGAGAGCTCATCTAGCAGGAGGAAGATGCGCGCCGTCCAGTGCTTCTTTTTCTCAAGGTAAGTCTTTCTTTTGATTCTTAGGTCTAGAAACCTTGAATGACTAGTCGTAGAGCCTCTGTACTGGGAAGAATTACTGTAAAGGGAAAATGAAATGTCCTTTTGAAAGTGACATGTGGTGTACCCCATTTTCATTGTCTCTTCGTCATTTGAGGGACACTTAGGTTGCTTCCATCTCTTAGCTGTTGTGAAAAGAGCAGCAACTAACAGGGATGTACAAGTGTCTCTGCAATAGGATGAGTTCTTTGGGTATATGCCAAGGAGTGGTATAACTGGGTCAAATGGTAGGTTCATTTTCTGTTTTTAAGGGTTCACCACACTGCTTTCCATAGGGGTTGAACAAGTTTGCAATCCCACCAGCAGTGGATGGACATTCCTCTTTCCCCACTCCAACATTTGGTATAATTTGTTCTCTTGATCTTAGCCAGTCTGACTGGGGTAAGATGAAATCTTAAAATGGTTTTAATTTGCATTTCCCAAATTACTAGTGATGTTGAACACCTTTTAAGATGCTTCTTAGCCATCTTTATTTCTTCTTTTGAGAACTCTCTGTTCAGCTCCTTAGCCCATCTTTTAATTGGGTTTTTCCTTTCTTGATTCTTTGTTTTTTTGAGTTCTTTATATATTCAGGATGTTAAACCTCTGTCAGATCAGATGTGATGCTGGTGAAAATTTTCTCCCTCTCTGTGGGTTTTCTCTTTACTTCCTTGGTTGCTTCTTTTGATGTACAGAAGCTTTTTAGTTTAATGAGGTCCCATTTGTTGATTCTTGACCTTATTTCTTGAGCAATTGATGCCCAGTTTAGAAAATCCTTTCCTATACCTATATCTTGTAGGTTATTGTCAATGTTTTCTTCTAACAGTTTCAGAGTTTCAGGCTTCACATTGAGGTCTTTGATCCATTTGGAGTTGACTTTTATGCAAGGTGAAAGATAGGGGTTTAGTTTCATTCTTCTACAGATGGAGATCCAGTTTTGCCAGCACCATTTGCTGAACATGCTGTCTTTCCTCCAATGTTCTTGACCTCTTTGTTAAATTTCAGGTGGCTGAAATTGCATGTACTCTTATTTGAGTCTTCATTTTGTTTCATTGATCTATGGGTCTATTTTTGTGCCAGTACCATGTTGTTTTTGTGACTATAGCTCTGTAATATAGCCAAAGGCTACCTAACAAGAAACAATGCCAGACAGGAGATACGTTCCTTTGAGTTGTTGGCCAGGGTGGCCCAAGAGACTCCCAGACAGTAACCCAGCATAGAACTGGGAAAATGAACAGCAGATCCCAATCTTATTTAAAGGTATGTTGGCAACTGATTGCTGCTAGATGAGGAAGAGCTGGTCTTCCTAAAACAAGGGATTCTAGATAGGCTGTCGAGATTCAGTGGATGAACTAACACTGGGGAACGGCTGGGGACACTGACAACACAGTGGACAGTAACTAGAATGACAGGGTATATGGGCTCCATTGGGGAGCAGTGGCGGGGGGTGG